CAGCCGACTTCTCAAAGGTGAAATAGTTGGATGTTTCATTTCACAGCGCTCAGTCTTGGCAGCTGAAGTCAAAAATAGTACTGGATCCTCTAAAGGTTTGTGTCTCAGGAGGATGGAGCTGTCTCCCTGAAACTAGACTCTGGCTCATTTTAAGAAAAGCAGAGTTGTTCAGAATTAACAGGATAATTACAGAATTCAGAGCCTAATACTGTAACAGCATCAGTAAGAGATCAGCACTAATAATTGAAGATTATTTGTGTCAGCATATCTAACCAAGGGTAGGGAGATAGAAAAATCACAGGGGTAGCCTTACTTTAGCTGTGTGCCTAGAGGTGTACATAACAGCCTGATTAGCTCATGGGCCGCTTCCTTTCCATGATATCATCTGCCTCTGGTGAGAGTGTAAGATCTCAGAACATCTCTATGGAGGAGAAAAAGGGCAGATAAGCTGGATCATGAGTGCAAAGATGGGAATTTTGAGACCCTGGGGTCCTCTCAGCTGGTGAGAGCACGGTGCTAAAATGCTGAAATTCAATCCCTGTATGGGTTGGTCACTTGAGAGTTGGACTTGATGATCCTTCTGTGTGTGAAGGAACCTTCCTGCCCTTCCAACTGAGACTGTTGTGTGAGACAGCTGTCCTTGCTGGCAGCAGTCTGCTTGGCATAAGTCTGCTCCACAAGGAGAGGATATAGGATTCTTTTGTTAATTCAAGGAAAACTTTCTAGTTTGAGTAATTATTTTTATTCATGTGGCTTTGTGAAAAATGTTCCAGGAAATGAAGGAGTTTTGCTCAGAGTAAAGTAAAAGGCTGTCCTTAGCATTTTTTAATTAAGAGGGAAGTACATACAAAAGCACATAAAATTAGGAAAAGAAAAGTAAAGCAAGTTATTCAAGTCAGGGTCTCTTGCAGCTGGAGACCTGTTGTCCTGCAAAGGCTGCTTTTACAATCTGCCCATGTGCAAATATTTCTGCACTGCTCAGGCATTGGTCAGGGTCTGATTCTGAATCTCCTGGCTTCTGTTCATTTAAGATACAGTATTTAACCTTAATTATTTTATGTTATTAATAATGTGTTGTTCTTTACATAGTGATATTTTTTCAGCTTCAATTAGTGTTTATGTTCCTTAAATCATTCTTTTAAGGCCATAGCTGAAAGGGATGATTGATTATCTGGTTTTCACTGGGTCAGTCTCAGGAGAAAAATAAAGCCCTTGTAATTCCAAGAGGATGGATACAGCCACTTCCAGATTTGAAAATGCTTTGTTCTAGGTCTGATTCAGCAAAGTACTTCATTGTGAGACATATTTTAAACTCATCAGGTTGCCTGCAGCATGGCTGCTGGTCAGCTCCTTGAGTACATTGCTGAATCATAGGATTCACACTTAATCCTTACTTATTATCAGAGGGAATACTAATAGTGCACAGTAATTTTTGTCTGAGTCACAGTGGCAGGAGTACAAGCCTGGAATGGAGATTTTTCTAATAATTCTTCTTCCATGGCACGAGCAAAGACTGTTCTTGATTCTACTGTACTGATCCTAACAGCCTGAGTGGTATGTTTTAGAAATTTGGATGAACAAATAGTTGTATTGCATTCATTGGTTTGTTTGACTTAGTTGATGATGAGGAGCCTGGGGATAAGTGGGGAAACAGCAAAGAAAATTAAGAGTCCTTGTGTTAAAATAGTGACTTTCACATAAGGATTTCAGATGTCAGAGAGCATAAGGGAGAATTGTTTATAAACCCATTCAGTGTAGGAAACTTGGCAGAGATCTTGCAAAAACCATTAATCATTAGCCATGCATAAGGCCAGTTATGACTCTGAAAGTTGTCAGTATTTTGCCAAATCCAGGATTCATACAGTAGATTGACTTGCTGGCATTCAGCAGTCTGTATTACCAAGGTCAGCAGAAAGAAATCAATGCCTCATACCTTCCTCCACCTCAGCTGAATGTCATTTACTGGACTAAACAGCACATTTATTAGAAAAATATCAGTGTACTTTGAGCTCATTGATACATTAGTGTTGTCAGAGCCATCCATCATTCCATTCCATCTCCATTTCCAATGACTCTTTGACCCACTGTCATCCTTGGGAGAGGTATGCCTGTAAAACAGTTTCAGCTCTCATCTTGTGGCATAAACATGCTTGTCTGGGGGGAGGCAGACTTTTGGTTTGGTTTTTTCCCTAAGGAAAATTCAGTTCCATGGTGGCTAAAATGAACTGGGTACTGGCAGTCCTTTACAGACTTAAATAGAAAATATTGAGCTGAAAGGGTTATATAAATGCAGTCCTGAAATGGTTATGTAAAGCAATGCTGTTCAGCTGTATGCTTGGTGTTTACTGTTGGTGGGGATGTCCCCTGTTTTTTCCATCTCCAAGAAGAAGAACCAGTAAAGAGTCTGATGGCTGTGGAAGTGAAACCTGCTGCTCTTTCTGGGAAGCAAATGGGGAAAGAGCACAGGCCTCTTAAGCCTTTGGACCAGGCAGAGGCCCTCTGTGAGGGTCAGTTGGATTCTGGTTCAGTGTGTCATGAAGAAAAAGTGCCAAATGTGGCATCCAGCAGGGAGTGTGACCCCTGTGGTGGGAGCACTCCTGAAAGACGCACCCTCTTCCTTGGCTGAGGAAGGTGTGTCCTCCTTAGGTTTGCATGTGTTTGCTGCCAGCAAATCCTTCTCCAGCTTTCTCCAGTGCTTTCCAAGCCTGCTTCATTTTCTGTTTTGCCCATTTATTAGTATGACTGCTCTTGTTATTATGCTTGAAGAGTGTGTAGTGGATAATTTGATTGTGTAGGTGCTGTATGACAACATGGTTTCCCACCGCTGCGGCTGATTCCTGAGTTTTTTACTTTGCCATGGTAAAATATTGCTTTGCAGCTAAGCTTATTCCTCTGTGTAAGCCTTTTTCCCCCATCTCAGATGTGTTTGCCAGTCACATTGCTAATCTGTGTATTTTTTTTCTTTTTGGTGCAGAGGTTCATCTGCATTTCTTTCAAACAGCAGATTTGCCGCCTTTGACTATGACATAAAGATGCTTAAACTGTAGAAATGTTTTCATTTGCAGTGTGCAGGATTTTTGTTTGGTTGGTTTGGTTTTTTTGTGTGTGCTTCAGTGCATTCTGGTTTAGCTTCCTTAAAGCTATTGCTTCTTATATCATACCCTTGTCATCCATTGCAATCCACCCCTCCTCTCCTCAGTCATTGCCAGAATTCTTATTTTTTTGCGTGTGCCACTTTATTACAAATGTTTAACCCTGCTGGAGTGCCCTTCTTAGGCAAAATCTCCATCACTTCCACTGGGACATTTGCCTTCAAATTGAAGTTTAGGACTGGGTGAAGTTTAGACATAGTTTCTGAACAAAATGTTTACTCAGTCATCTTTCAGTACATAAGAACTAGGCTTCAGTATTTTTGTTTTAATTATATTTCGGTTCAGCCAATGGAACAAGGTGCAAAGGCACCTTGTGTGGAGTAGTGATGTACCCACTCCCTGCCTGGCTAAGGAATGCTACATTTAGGAGGCTTGTGTTCCAAATGGCCCAGCTGAAGTGCACTGAATTCCTTTGGCAGTCAGAATATGCTTGGATGCCATTGGTATTGTTTGCTTGCACTACAGGAAGGGAGACAGGAGGATACATAGAGAAAAGCAGTATCTAGCTATTTAATTCCTGTGAAATGAGCATGACGTCAGCCCAGTGGCCATGCTTTGTACTTCATGGGGATTGCAAGTCCATCACCACATGTAAAATCACAAAGGAGCAAAATTACTGTAGGTGTAGATTTCTAGTTTGGTTACCTGTGGATTTTAGAATGGCAGTTGCTTTTTTGATTCAGTATTAACATATTTAAATATTTAAATAATGAGCAATACTTTTATACTAATTGTTCTAAAAACAGTCAGATTCATCAAAGCAAAAAGATGCCTCCATGGACTTCAGATCTGAAGAAATTCAGAGTTGGCCCAATGCTAGTTGTAACAAGCTTTAGAAAAAACTCAGAAAAAAATTTAAAAAAACTATTTTACAGATTAGTGAAGAAAGATATGCCACATTCTGAAGTCTTTCTCTTCATATTTTCCATTACAGGAAGATTTAAATGAGATAGGAATCATTATCTTCCACAGGACATTAAAAAAAGATTGAGCTATTAATGATTAACAGACTGGGTATTTAAAAAAACTTAACTAGGTATTAGCCTCTGAAAATAAAGTGGCAGAGTATAAGAGTAGCCTTTTTAGTTTCAAATTAACTTAATTAGTGCCTGATCCAGAGTCAAAGAAACATGCCAAATATTTTTTGACTTTAGCTATGTCACCTACGTCTTTGTAGGTGACTGGCCATTTTGAAGACCAGACCTTCAAGGCCTGGGAGTATTGGTAGGTCTGTTGCTGATTTCCACATGCTGGTTTGGTGACAGCAGTGAGAGTCTGGTAATTTGACAAAGAGCAAGTGTTATAAGCTGGTACAGTTAAAAAAACAGCCTCTTCTGAAACTTGCAAAACACTTTGCAGGCATTATCTCTAATTTAGGCTGCATGTGGAAGAAAAATGTATAAAAATACATAGAAATGTATAACTATGAATGTTTTAAATATCAGCAACACACAAAGGTACCACTGATTCCTTTGAAGTTGCAGACTTCATTAACACAAAAGTTACATAAGCTACGGAGTTCAGCACAGCTTCTAATGAAGTGAGGTTATTTGTGATTTTGCTGTTGTATACAAATCATGAAGACAAAGAATTTACATGAAATCATCTCATTTCAGTGCTCACATTTATACGTGTACAACTCACATTTTTCTTAGAAAACCTTATATATTGAAAGGAAACTAGTATTTAACACTTTAAAGCAGATTTCTAGGTGGATGCCTTGCTGCATGCTCACATCTTTCTCCCTTTCCATTCCATCATTCATATTAAAATGTTGTAGGCCACGTGACTGCCTGCCTGTAAGTGCTTGAAATAATTTTGCTATAAAACCCAAACAAATTACTTCAGATTTACTTGCAGCCACGAAGATGGAATTCCGTGTCCAGGAGGGCACATGCCCTTTTGCAGCAGAACCATTAGACACAAAGCAACGTGAATCTGGGAAGGACAGTAAGACTGTTGAGCAGCCTAAATATGATGCCTTAGTTCCACAGTCAGCAAAAACAGAGGCTACAGATAAAAAGGATTCAGAGAGCAAAGACAAAGTGCTTTCACCTCCATCAGAATGGATGTTGAAAACTGATTCACAGATGAAAGGGGAAGCCAGTTTTGCAGAACCTGCTGCTAAGCCTCCTGCTCCTCAAGAACAACAGCACTTGTCATCTCAGCTGCCTGAAGTGAGCAGGGCGGAAGAAAGGACTGCAGGTGTGCCCTCATCAACCAACCAAGTTATGGGTATGAAATTTGAAGACAACCTCAAAGATATCCAGGGTGGTGCCATCAGCTATGGGGAAAGTTCTCTATTGCTACCAGAACCCAAGGCAGAAGCAACCAAAAGTGAACTTCCTTCAGGCCCATCTCCTGCTGTCCCCCAGGAGCTTTCACTCAAAGACAGCTTCAAAACACATCAGGAACCTACTGACCAACTGTTTGCCAAAGATCTCAGTAAAGATGAACAGATCCACAGAGACAGGACATTATCTCTCCAGGAAGTCTCAGCAGTAACTGTAGATGGATTGAAAACTCCAAGCACCCCAAAAATCCCTCCATGGGGAGAGGAAAAGGACATGACTAAGGATGAGAGTGATGAGGAAGAAAGGTACGACTTCTATGATAAAGGGGAGGCTCAGCTATTAGATGAGCGTAAAATGACCACAAAATCAGAAGTTAAGACACCTCCCCCAGACAAAACAGACATTGAAAAGGATGGTGAAGCTAAAAAATCACCTGATACTCTCAAAGCAGAAAAAGAAACAGACCAAAGTGGGCTCTCAGCAGCAGATGTGAAAAAGGAGGTGCAGCAAAGCACACAGGTACCCCCAGCTAAGTTAAGCCATGAACTGAGTCACGAGAAAACAGCAGAGCACCCTGATACCGCTCAGTTATCCAGAGTAACAGAGAAAGCCCCTGAGGCACCAGGTTTAACCACTGAGAAGACTCCTACTCTAGAAGCTTCTCAAGAGAAAGATGTTAAAAAAGATACTGAGGAGGATAAGGCAAGTCTTGCTGCTCCTCATCAAATGAAGGAAGAGGAGGATCAGTCAGGAATGTCAAAGTATTTTGAAACGTCTGCTCTGAAAGAGGAAGCCTTCAAAGCAGATGGTCTGAAACAAAGCAGTGATTACTATGAGCTAAGTGACACTAAAGAGAGTAAATATGAGCCTTATCAGAGAGGTCCTCTAATACCTGAAGATGAAGAGGAGGAGGAAGAGGAAGAATTAAATCAGCAGCAGAATGTGCATGCTCGTGAAATGGGGTACAGTACCCTGGCTCAGAGCTATACACCAGACACATCTGAAGAACCCAGTTCTCCAACAGAAAGAATGTTCACTATTGACCCCAAAGTCTATGGGGATAAGAGAGAACTTCACAGTAAAAATAAAGATGACCTAACTCTGAGCAGGAGCTTGGGACTTGGGGGAAGATCTGCAATTGAACAGAGAAGTATGTCTATTAACTTGCCCATGTCCTGTCTGGATTCAATAGCCCTAGGATTTAGTTTTGGTCGTGCACACGATCTTTCTCCCCTCGCTTCAGATATTCTAACTAACACTAGTGGAAGTATGGATGAAGGTGATGACTACTTGCCAGCAACCACACCAGCAGTGGAGAAGGCCCCCTGCTTCCCCATTGAAAGTAGAGAGGAGGATGAGCACACAGAAGAAGAAAAAGTGACGGTAGAAGAAAAAGTCCAGCCTGAGACCTTGGCTGAACCATCTTTCCAGGCCAAAGATTACTACAAAAATGGGGCTGTCCTGGCTCCTGACCTGCCTGAAATGTTAGACTTGGCAGGGACAAGATCTAGATTAGCCTCTGTGAGTGCAGATGCTGAGGTGGCACAGAAGAAGCCAGTTCCTTCTGACACTGTTGTGGAAGACAGCAGCACAACCCTGCCACCTGTGACAAATGAAAACCATGTAATTCTGAAAGCTGAAAGCCAGCTGGAAGACTTGGGCTACTGTGTTTTCAATAAGTACACAGTACCACTCCCCTCCCCAGTTCAGGACAGTGAGAATTTAACAAGTGAAACCTGTCCCTTCTACGAAGGCACAGACGAAAAACTGAGACGTGGCCTTGCTCCTGACTTGTCTTTAATAGAAGTGAAGCTGGCAGCTGCAGAAAAATCAAAAGAAGACTTCCTCAGTGAAAGAGATTTAGGTCAGCATGGTGAGTCCACTCTGGTGAGGAACTTTGAAGAGGAGAAAAAAGAGAAACTGGATACTGTGCTAGAAAAAAGTGAAGATCAAGTTGACTCTAAAGAGGTCTGTCCCATTAAAGGAGCAGAACCAGAGAAGACAAGAGCTGAGTCAGTGTTAGAAAGGAAAGAAGAAAGTGTGGCTAGTAAAGTTCATTTACCTGCTGACACAATGTATGACAGAATTTCTTCTTCAGAGATAGCAATAGAAAAGGATTCTATTTGTTTGTTGTTGGAGAAGGAGAAGACTCTTAGTGTTGTTCATGAAATAGCTGAGATAGCTGATATAGAACTAGAGCCTCCAATTAAACCAGATTACAATGCTATTAAGCATGATATGGAGGTAGCTGCAAGGAGAGCTGACCAAGAATATCAGAGTAAGTTAGACACTAAGATCAGTGAGGTTGTTTCTCTTCCATCAGGGAAGGACAAAACCTCTCTTAAAAAAGCAGAGCCTGAACCCAAAGACGCTCAGCAGAAAGAAGAGACCATCTTCTCCAGAGAAGCAAAGGATGCAGATGTACTTTCCAAGACTGAGCCTAGTTATGCAAAGGACAGCACCAAACTGTCAGAAATAGAAATTAAAGAAAAAGTAACTAAGCCGGATCTGGTACATCAAGAGGCAGTTGATAAGGAGGAATCTTATGAATCTAGTGGAGAGCATGATCAAGCCCAAGAAAGTTTGAATGGAGAATCTGTGAAACCAGAGGATATCAAAGCAGAACAACCAAAACCTCCCGTGTCTGGGGAAGAGATGCCTACACAGGTACCAGCTAAGGGGGCTTCTGTGGAGCCCCTCTTGCCAAAAGCTGAGCCTCTCCGGGAGGAGCCTGCTGAGATTCAGATGGAGAGCATACCACAACTCATAGAAGGAGCTGAAGAGACTCTTGATAGAGCTGTGAAACCTACAGAAACCCAAAAGCTGCTGCCATGTGAACTGGCAGCTGGAGCTCTGAAAGAGGAAGAATATGAGGAAGAAGAGGTGGAAGCAGGGCAAGAAGCAAAAGAAGAGGATAAACAGCATCTTGCATCAGAAATGCCCCCAGAGTTTGGTGAGCCTGCTGCAGAGGAAATGGGAGCCAAGGGTAGCCCAGAAGCCCTGCCTGAGCTGAAAGGCATTATTGAATCTGTGGTGACAGTGGAGGATGACTTCATCACAGTGGTGCAGACAACAGTTGATGAGGGTGAATCTGCTTCTCACAGCGTGCGCTTCGCCGCCACTCAGCAGGAAGACATTGAAACAGGAGACTCCCAGGCTGAGGAGGAGCTGGATGTTGAAGAAGTGGAGATTGAGCCCAAGGAGGGCTCCCGAGAGGCTCCTGCTTCACCCCAGAGAGAAGAAATCCTGCTCACTAACTACAAAACAGAGACGTGTGATGATTACAAAGATGAAACAACAATTGATGACTCCATCATGGACACAGACAGTCTCTGGGCAGACACTCAAGGTGTGCATTATCCTTTCTGTTTTGTCTGTTGAATATTTTTGCTTCCAAATCATAATGATTGAAAAGCAAAATTATTACAGTTATAATAGTAATCTCAGCATGTTTCAGAGAAATGGTAAAAATAGTTTGCTTTTTTAAAATTAATCATCTGCTCTGTCTTCAACTATTTTTTCCCTGCTCCTCTGAAGTATTGTTAACATTTGTTACTAATCTTTTGTTTGTTGTTGTAATTTGCTCTGATCCTACAGATGATGATAGGAGCATCATGACTGAACAGTTAGAGACTGTTCCTAAAGAGGAGAAAGCAGAAAGAGAATTGAGAAGATCATCTCTTGATAAGCATAAAAAAGAGAAACCTTTTAAAACTGGGAGAGGCAGGATTTCTACTCCTGAAAGGAAAATAGCTAAAAAGGAACCTAGCACACTCTCCAGAGATGAAGTGAGAAGGAAAAAAGGTTCATTTCACACTCCTATTACAATTTTTTTTTTATTTTCTTACTGTTTTACAGTACTGTCTGGTTACTCTGCTGTAGATTATGTGCACCATGGCGTTATTAACGGTAGTGTTTTATAATGAGATATTGTACAACTATGTGAGAAGCCATGTCCAAGGCTCATTGCTCCACTGGTCCTATTTCATTGTGGACATCCCTATTGATTACTGGGTAATGCTTCTGAGCCAATGCACCAGTGCTCCCCCTCTTGCAGCATAGGATTTGTTCCCCTCGGAAGAAGCAACGCGTTGGGTTGGAGTTGTGGGGCAGTGGGCCTGACACTTGACTTATTGATCATGTGGAATGGTTTGCTGGGTTTTTTTCTGATTCTGTGTTTTTGTGTTCTTTTTGTCCATAGCAGTGTATAAGAAAGCTGAACTTGCTAAAAAAACTGAAGTTCAGGGCCACTCTCCCTCCAGGAAAATAATTTTAAAACCTGCTATCAAATATACTAGACCAACTCATCTCTCCTGTGTTAAACGGAAGCAGACAGGTGACTGCGTTCTGTTCAGTTATGCAATGTGGCTGGCAAACATAGACATTTTCTTTTGTAAATCTCATAGCTCTAGCAGCTTCTCTATTTTTTTTTCTTCCAAGAGTGTCAATCTTCACAAATAGAATTGCTTTTTTAGTGTTTTGTACCATTTTTCTTTTATTCTTTCTTTCTTTCCTGGTATTTGTTTGTTTGTTTGATGGAGGCCATGATCATGTATGCTTGTCATTGCTTGGGCCTCCAAGTGCTGTGATTGTAACTTGGCATCGTGCTTAGAGTGTGGTGTTCTAGGAATCTCTATCATCTTTTAATTTGTGGATGATTTTTTTCTTTATTTTTAAATTTTTTTTTAATTATGCTTTATTTTTTTTTCTGGTGGGAAAATGTTGGCAACTTAAACCATGTTATGCATTTCCATTCTTCTGCTTTTTTACTCTCATGCATAATAAGAAGTGTTTCAGACTTATATTTTGTTTATTGATGTTATCTGCATTGATAATTCCCAATCTGTCACTGATGTTTATGCTGTGCAGTCAAAATCCACAGGGAGAATCCAGCCACATGCAGCATGGAGCTGAGAGAGAAGAAATCTGGGCTCACACTGCGAAATGCATTCCAAGCAAAAAATCTTAATATTTGGTAGAGGAAGATAAAAGGAAGAAAGAAATGATTCCTGTTACAACTTCATAGGTGTATCATTATTTAGAGGACCAAAATAACTCTTCCAGCATTTTCACATATTATTCATGATTTCTGTGGGTTCCAAGTGGAAGGACGAACATCTTCACTTTCATTGTGATCTTCAAACTGCTAAAAGAGGGCAGGTTTTCTGTCGTGTAACGTGGCCACATGCTGTAGTGTTTGGTTGTTTGGAACTTGAGATAATAAGAGAAAAACCAGGCACAGCAATGCAGAAGTGCACAGGCATCTTCTCACAGCTTAGAAATTAACAGGAACTTTCATTACCCATCATGTGGTTAAGCAGAGCAATACCAAAAGTGTCTCCAGGCAGTGATTCCCCTGCAGTTTTGCACCAGTCCCTCTTGTTGAGAATGCAGACCAGCCCCAGCAGGGAGGTGTGAGCAGTGAAAAAGCAGTAGGAGGATGGTTTAGAGCAGGTTTGGTCTCATGCCTCTGCTGTATGAAGTGTGGATTGTATCCTGGCTGTGTTCCACTGGGACACCAGAACGATGCCATCCCCTTTGCTCCTGTGACAGAATCTCACCCTTTTACTTCCCCCTCTCAGGAGAAATAAAAGGAAAGGAAAGGCTGCTTCAGTCTCCTCTGTGTTGCACTGATGTCTCCTCCTCAGTTTGCAGTCTCTGGGCTGTCCTAACTTGCACTCTGAACCAGAACTACCCAACAGGGAGGAATTTTAAAACAGAGTTAAAACATTTCTCCTTGCTGTCTCTTGCTGCTTGCTGAAGCACAGCTTGATAGCTCAGAAGTTACAACCCATAATTCTCATGTTCTTTCAAAAGCCCCAGGGGAATTCACTAAGCTGTGGACATGGGTGGGGGAAAGGCACTGACTTTGTAGTGTTCTCAACTTCATCTACACTTGTACAGCTGTGTGGTCAGAGCTGTCATGCCCTCAGCTACCAGGGCATGACAGCTCTGACCACAGGCTACTCACTCTACCACTGCCTGCTCTGAACTGTTCTGACCCTTAGGAGCCCAAAAAGAACTGAGTCATACCAATGGACTTGGATAAAATCTGCCCTGTGCCTGCAACTTGTGCTGCCTTGGCAAACCTCAGAGGTTTTTCTCTCTAACTGCAATGCACAGGGAACCAGATGTCTTAGTCAAAGTGAGAAACACAACACAAAAACTACCTCCCTTACTTAAGTCCTGAGGTAGGAAGCAACCAATATGATGGACCCAAACTGATCATAGAACTTTCAGAAATGTGGCTTGAACTTTGAGCTCTAAAGCAGAGGAGTGGAAACCATGCCAAAAAGTGACCAAAAATATTTCTTAGAATGTTTCAGCACACTCATTGTTGCTGGAAAAATTACAGTATGCCTTATTTTCTTCTACCTCCCATATTTATAGTTCCTTATGGGACTTTGGGGAAGTCTATGAGAAAGACTGCAATGGTGTGTGATATTCTAAGAGTGCAGGTGGTCATATGTTATCTTACAAATCCCTGAGCTTGATTGTGTCATGCAGGTCTCTCCAGGATCTGGAATCTAGAGGGACATTGTCTCTCTCCCATTTTCTTTTTAACTGAAATACAGCACCATTTCTTGAAGCCAGTTTTGACTGTCAGTGCATCCTGTTTGGAGTGGTCTTGTTAGTTTTAGTGATGCCTGGGTAATGAAGCCCACAAAAGTTCTTGGCAGTGTAGTCCACAGAGCTTTGAGTGTGTTGCAGTCAGTTAAAATCTCCACACAGCATTTACCATGACTTCAAAATGAAACATGTCCAGTCATAAGATACAGGTATCTACCAAAGGAAGTTAATGTCTGCTTTTATATTTTGCACAATGGCCTGGGAAAAGTGCATTTTCCCCTTAATGCCCCTCAATACCTGAAAAAGATTTCCCACATCATTGGAAAGCACTGGGAGGTACCAGTAACTTACAGAACCATATCCATGAGTCAGGTTCTGGTTTTTGAGGGACGTGTCCTTGCCATTTGAAAACGAAATTGTAAGGCCAACTTGATGAGACAGTTGGGAAGTCTTTGCCTTGGCTGGTGTAGCTCCATGAGTGAAACCCCCAGCCTGGCCTGGGTTTTCTTGGTGGCTGTGAGATGCTACTGCAGGTGTGTTTTTGGAGGCCAGGACAATGACCTGGCCATGATATGCTTCTGTTTCTTGTTTTCAGTTCTGGGGTCACCCCCTGAGCTGAAACAGGTTTGTAGGGCCTGTAGAAATCTTGTGTTCGGAGGAGTTCTGGTTGTTAACAGGCACAATGGCACAAGTGACACAGCTTTTCTTCCAGCTCCCAGTGTGACTGGTTAGGGATGAATGCCAAGGGAAGGAGGAAGCAATCTGTTTGTGGTTATCTAGAAGAGATGGAAACCAGACCCAAACCAACAGTAACAGCAGTGGTGAAGTGTGACATGGGAAGGCTCTGCTGTACTCACCTCTTAAAAATTCAGAAGAACTGAAGTAGGCAGTTATAAATTCTTTTCTTCCTCACAAGTTCTCTCTCCTACACCTTGGACTAGAGTGGGTAGTGTGACAGAAAACCAGGGATAACCTCACCATGCCTGGAGCTGCATAAGAAATGGGAAAAATTAACCTGACCTTTCCTGTATGAGGAGTTAGGATTGGTTTAAAGTTGGAAAACAGTTGGGTTTATAGCAGAAGGTTGTCATTTGTGATTGTTGTCCTACTACTTCTTTTACCAAGGGCATCCTGGCACAGGTGCCAGAAGATTTCATGTTAGTTGTTAAGTGGCACATCACTTCCTAAGCAGCAGCCTTCGGGTGAAGCTGATAACCTGCTTTCCAAAAAGCTGTCCCATTCAAAAGCCAGTGTGGATGGATTTCAGGTCCAAGAGAAACATCTTACCTCAAACCATGTTGTATCAAATAAATGAAATACTGAGTTAGCATTCTTGATGTCCCAGATAAACCTTGAATTTTTAAATTCTTGAGAGCTTAGTTGACCATGACACGCTGCCCTTATTGACACAACTAGGATGAAAATTCAACAGTGAATCTCTCTCTATCCATTATGAATGTTGGCTAATATTTTGAAAGTGGTGACTATAGAGACCTCTCTTACAATTTTGATTTATGGATGATTTAAAGAAGCTTGATTTTTAGAGGACAGTCCTGAAAACCAGGCTGTAAGTTTTCTGAGGATTGAACAGAAACTTATATTTGTCAACTATTTCTGGAACTTTTTTCTTTTAGTTTGTAGACCTATAGGTACATGAATAGAAAATTTCATTTTGTTCAAAACACATAGAATACCATTTTACCTCAAGTAAGATGAATGCAGAAAAAATTTAAGGCAAAGAAATGTCTGCATAAAGTTCAGGGTATTTCACAAAGTACTTGCTTTGCACAGTAGTTTCAAGGCATTTAATTAGTCTAACAAGTGTACTGAATGGAAATGCTTATTATTACTGTCTTTAACTATCAAGTTTTTCTTTGGATTTCTCAGCAGCAGGTGGTGAAACAAACCAGGCGCCTGCTGTATTTAAACAAGCAAAGGAAAAACTCTCAGTGAGTAAAATAATCTTATTGTTCATCTTTATAATCTCCTTTTGCCCTTATTTTACATCTTTTTGTGTTAATTCAGTAAGTAATTGTGTGTTCCATTTAAAATTTGTTCGCCATTTTCATTATTAATTTAAAAGGATAATTAAAACCACCTTTCCTGAATAACCTTAGAAGTCTAGTCTCAAGTGGTAGATGGTGACAGTTTGCAGACCCACAGGGGGCACACAGACTCCAAACTGCAGGACTTGAAGTCTGGGCAGCATTTTGAGCCAGGCCATTCCGTGGGATGAGCTGCATGTCCTGGCCCTTCCTGCAGCACCCAGCTTGCATTGGCACCTTGCTGGACTGCTGGGTGTTACAAAGCCACAGAATGCAGAAGCCCACCCCAGGACTGCTGGATATCTCCTGGTGTGCCATTCCACAGCCCAGTGTTCTGCAGGGGCCATGCCTGTGTAGGAGTTACTGGCCAGTAGAATTTACATTTACTGCTTTCAGTATGGCCACTGTCTGTGCTATAGTCTGTCAGACTACAGCCTTGCCTTGCCTTGCCTTCAGCTGCCCTACAGCCTTTTCTGCTTCCTGTGTCTGGCTCTCTTAAGCAAAGACTCCCTTGCCCCTTGCTCACCCTACACTGTTTCTGTCTCAACCCTCCGAAATCCTCAGCAAACCAACCTCCATTCACTCTCCCCTGTGCAGTTATTTTAGCCATGACAGTGACACATGCTAATTCACAGCTGCAGCATGACACTTTATCATTGTTATCACAGAATCATAGAATATGTTGAGCTGGAAGGGACTCATCAGGATCATAAAGTACAACTCCTGGCCCTTAGCAGGACCAGCCCCCAGCAATAACAATTACAATTTTCTTTAGAATTTTTCTAAATTCCCTAATATATTTCTTAGTATATTCCATGGGTGATTTATTTCGTTTATTAAACCAGGCTCTCAGTTCTTTGGGGCTGTGTCACATCAAGTGCTACACACTGTTCATGAATTGTAAGAAACTGGTAGTGTTAAGAGCACTTTTGGAGGCTTTGGAGGAACCAGGGTTTTTCAGGTCTGACCCATTCCAGCTCAGAACTGGGAAACTATTAGAGCTTCTTTACAAGTGACTAAGATCTGGGCAGGTTTGTTGGCTGAGTCTGAGCATGTTTTATTACTGTCTTTTCCTGACAGACCATCAACACTTGCACAAGAGATGCCAATACTTGCCCATTTTCAGTGTTTTTGGAGTGCTCTAGTACAAGCACTGCACTGCAAAATCATTCTGTGAAATTATCTTTTTGTATGTCTTTCCTATTCCTGCACCTTATGTTATAGCACACATCAGAAAGCTGTCCCCTGTTTACTTTCTCTCCTGTTGCCTTGTCTCTCTGGTTGCCACACACCTCTTGGATATTTTCTCTTCTGTGCCTTGCCTTTGTCTCTGCTTTTATAAAGATCTCTCTCTATTTTTGTTGTTTTGTTTCTTTGTGGTTTTCAGCTTTTATGTCTTTCAAGTGCTGCAGTCTTTTCCTCTTCACTGGTAATGTTAGATCATCCAGCCTGGTCAGTTTTGTTATTCATGTTGAGACTGCAGTTTACACAGGACAAGTTCAGGAAAAGCTAAACAGTTCCATCTGCTGGAAGCAGCTGTGTACCTGCAGTTCACAGTGAGGGGATGAAAACCTGTGCCATGTGTTAGGAACACCTTGAAATAAAATGAGGGTTCTGCATCCCCACTTCAGCAATCCCTGAGTCACATAGAACTTTGTCCTCTGGGCAGCTCACCCTTCCAGCAGCATAAATTAAAACAGAGGTCAGAGGTGAAGTATTGCTAACAGAGACTGAGTTTTCCTGCAGGGATTGAGACACAGTTTCTTTGCTTGCTCAACCAGCTCTGGGCAGGTTCTGCTGCTATTCCTGATGCTAAAAGTGCCCTGATACCTAAGTAACATGGAGGGACTCCAGACTGTGATAACCAGAGCTGTGCAGTAGCTCAAGGCCATGCCTTTTCCCCATCTTTTCCATTGACAGATGTCAGTGCTGTCCACTTTAGCATCCACATTAGATACATGTATTCACAGAGGACACTGAGCCATATGAGTGAAAAGTCTTTGCACTGTGACTAGAACCTTAATCTACAAGAGTTTTTCAGTCTCATTATAGGGGTAGTTCCTTGCATGCAAATTGAAAATGGTGAAAACCACAGAATGAAGATTTGGGCCTCAAGCAGTGTGTGCTTAGTTCTATCTCTGGTTCAGAAAGCCAGGTGAAAGGTGCTTGCAGAATGTCTGCTTCTTCTGCCACCCAACATAAAGATTCCACCGAGTTTCAGCATCAGTAAATACCTTCATGGATTTCTAAACATGATCCAAAGTTTCACAAATGGATGAGACCCATAAACTGAACTATGACAAAACAGTCAAAGTCTGGAAAAGCCTTTGATTTAACAGAAATTTATATTCTGTAGTTTCTGTTTAAAATAATTATTTGCTGGTTTTCCTCTGTTTGTTCTCAGACAGTAAAATAAGTATTAAAAAAGAAAGAGGCATAAATATGCTGCAAAACTCATTATGGGAATATGTTCTTGCTAGTAAAGCACTTCCATCCTAATTTCTTGACTTGCTGCTTGGTCTGGAGGAGGACATCCAATGGAACTCCTCTCAGCTGTACTGTGGGACTGGAATTGATACACAGTTCTGCAGCTCTTACTCACATGAGTGATGTCATAGATGATATTCAGTCTCAGTTTTCCATAGGCTGAGCATATAGCCTAAGCCAGAGGCCTGTCAGAGCTGGACAGCCCATTCTTTTCTCATTTTCTAACAAGACAACTTAAAAGCAGCTCGTGTACCTTTTCTGAACATTGGGAAAGTCCAGGGGATTAATTGAAATCAAATGCCAAGTTTAGCACTAAAGTTCAGTGCAAATCCCAGGAGGACAGGCCCATTGGGATTTGTACATAATTTCATGCTAGTATGACTACAGAGAGGATAAGGACTACCTTTGCAACTGCTCTTTGTAATATCAGTTACACCTATAGAAAAAAAAAACCAGTGTTTCTTAAGCAAGTAGCCTATTCAGTTTCAAGGAGATTCTTTTTTGTAAAGCAGTAGGATGCTGCTAAGTATTAACAAAGATTTTCTGTCTGTCCTGTTGGTGTTTAATTGTTCTTTCAATGGGATATTTTCATTATTTGGTATCAAGCAAGTATTTGTTCACATTAACATACCATGTCAGCCCTTCAACCATGTATGCTTTCCTCATCCCAGGACTGCATACAAATATAAATTTACTCCATGCAAAAATAAAAATATTCCAATACAAAATACTCCAATACAAAACCAAAAATACTCCATACAAATATAAATTTGTGAATTTCTATGGAGTGACACCAAATGCACAGAGCAGTATCTGGGCTGTGTTAGAGATTTTGTCTGTACACAGTGGCAAAAGAAGGAATGTTGTCCTCCTGCTGCTGTGGGAATACTGGTGTAACTTTGTTTCTAAGATTCCCACGTTTTATTCTTGATTTTAGCCTGGAGGAATGTATTTCAACTTTAAAGGGCTAGGATCCCTTGGTGCTCCTGTAGCTTTGCACTTGTTTCTAATGCAGCAGTTGTACCAGTTAAATGCCACACCTGGCACCATTTTTTTTTCTAATAACACAAGATCTAAACAGCATCTGCAGAAAAAGGCAGATTCCTAGAATTGGTAACTCTGTCCAGACCAAGGATTTCAGTCAAATAACACAAAACTGAAACTTCCATGATTGTCAGATCTGCGTAGACCATTACCAGACGCAGGAAAAGTATTATTCATAGCTTGGCTTTTTTTTTTTTTTGTTTTGTTTTTTTTTGGTCCATGTTGCATGTGTTTTCATTTTGTCCAGCTTCATGTTGTGTTTTGTTTGTTTTCTCATGACTAGACTGCCTCTTTGTCAAAGATTCCTGCCTCAAAGTCTAGAGCAAAGTCATTGCTTCCTCCAAGACCCAGCTCAGCCTGCTCATTAACCACTAAAAGGGCCACATGTCTGGATACAGACAGTTTATTTGTTCGGCCCTCCTCTGCAGGCCCAAGAGACTCAAAATCAGATGCTAAGGTAAGGTAGCAGAGTTGGTGGAGAGAGTCAGAGATGCACAGGTGAACTCCATGAGACACATTATCTACCCACTGAATTTGATTAATTCTCTGTGAAGCTCCTGTCGGATTACTTACTTCCAGTGGCAGGAAAACTGATTAGCAGGCTACAAGATGGATAAAAATGGAGATACTCCACAGGAAATGTAAATGAAGTTATAACTAGAAAGACACATCTTCTTTTTGTTGATCATATGGATGCCACTTCATTAACTGCCAAGAAGTTACAGCCATTTGCAAGTGAGTAGGTGGTAAAGAGCAGCAGGACCAATTTGCCCTCCAAGTTTAAAAAACTGTAATTTTTGACCTGTTAATATTCTTCAAAATGAAGTTCAACCTCCAGCATAAGAGAGTACAATTGTAATTAGCAGCAGCAGGGGATAGAATAGGGCAGAAACCAAATGTCAAGGACCAAATTTAGTCAGTGCATAGGACTTTGTGAAGAAGTTGCAGTATAAATTTAAAAAGATGATTGGCAGTCCATTCCAGCTTCTCCCTATTTACATTTAACTTGTGTTTCAAATGTACATTATGGTGACTTAACTATCCCGGTTTAAAAATTGGTTTTGCCCTTGACTTTCATTTTTTGTTTAATGTCATATTTGGTGTGTCTTTTACTGATTGGGACCATCATCATTTGTCTTTAGGAAGAATGTCTGCTTATGCTGGTCTGTCTTTGGCTGCACATCCCATAAACTCAAAAATATTCTAACATACATGTCCATTGCCCTAATGGTAAAGGTTTACTTTACTCTGGTAAAGAGAAGGTATGCACTGATTTCAAAAAGTAAGCATTTTATTATAGAAGGAATTAAAACAGCAGGATTTATAATCCAAATTCAGGAAAAAAGAAAAAAAAACAAACAGAAAATACCATCAAAGCCTGTAGCTAAAAATTTATGTCCATAAGAAATTTACAAGTTAGTGTTTGAATATGCAAAAATCACACAACACGTACCAATCTAGTGTCTGGACACCAGTAATGCAGTTACTTTGCAGGTAAATTCATATAGGAATTTCACACTTGAGCTCTAGAGAGTTTACTTTCAATTTGCACTTAAAAACCCCGCTCTTTTTTCCTTAGTAAGAGCCAGCTGTGGAATCCATATTTAGATCCAAGAATATCCCTAGATGTCTCAGGATAGTAATCAGAAGAGGTTTGGATGCCGTAAAGATGCACCAGGGAGCTAAGTTAGAGAATGGAGGGTGACTGATCCCAAACTGGGCCCACAGGATTAGGTTTTCCCCTCTGTGTGTAGATACAGGAAATCATAGCCCAAAGAGTGAGGTTTGCAAACTAAACCTTCCTTTGTTGTTGTGCTGCTGTAGGATGGAGTAAGCAAGAGCCCCGAGAAGCGTTCATCTCTGCCAAGGCCTTCCTCCATCCTCCCTCCTCGGCGAGGTGTTTCAGGAGACAGAGACAGAGAGGAGAACTCCCTGTCCCTCACATCTTCGCTCTCCTCCTCAGTACGACGGACTACCCGTGAGTTGTCTCTTTATTTTGCATGTTCCCTTTTTCCTGCTCCTGTGGTTGTCTCCATCCTGGTCAGATTTGTCACATTGCACAGCCTCTGACACAGAGGAGTGGTTCTGGGGTATGCTGTAGTGTAGCCATGATATTTTCTGAAAAATCCTTTCTTTAGGATTTTTTCTCCTGAGAAGCTGAGAGGCCTCAGGAACAAAATGTAAACAATGATTATCTGCTGCTGTAGAATGAAACAGGTGGATCTGTGATTGGTCTCACGTGGTTGTTTTTAATTAATGGCCAATCACAGTTCAGCTGTCCAAACTCTCTGTCCAAGTCACAAGCCTTTGTTATTGATTCCATTCCTTTTCTATTCTTAGCTAGCCTTCTGATGAAATCATTTCTTCTATTCCTGTAGTATAGTTTTAATATAATATATATCATAAAATAATAAATCAAGCCTTCTGAAATGTGGAGTCAACATTCTCATCTCTTTCCTCATCCTGGGACCCCTGTGAACACCGCACGCTGTAGAACTGGTTTTGTTCACATGCCAAGTGCCTGAAAGCAGGGACAGGATGCACCTGCAGTGCCCAGAGCAAGGTCTGCTGCCCAGATTAATTGCTGATATTAGAAAATGCCTTTGTAGGGAGCTCAGAGCTGGGTGAGGTACTTAACACAGAGCATTTACAAATAGCAGCAAGAAATAATGAGTCAAAGCTGAAGCAGACAACCTGAAATATTCTGATGGGTCTTGGAAAAGTGAACCTGATAGTTAGAGTCATTTATTTGCTGCTTCCCAGTAATTATCTCCCTGTGCTCTACTCCTAGGGTAAAATTGCTGCTGAGAATTGAGATGTTAAGTAGCAGAGTGACTCACTGGGGGCAGTGAACCAGCTAGGTTCCTTTTATGAGCACCAAAGTTATCAAATCACAAGCCAAAATAAATTACAGGACAAAGACAATTTACTAAATAACCCCAGAACTTTTAGCCAGGCCTTAGAACCTACATGTGGCTTCCTGCTTTCCAATAGGAGTTTCTGTCTTCTCTCTTTAGAAACCAGTCTCAACTCTTTTTAAGACAGCTTAAGGGAAGTAGATGATTAAATTCTGCAAAAAAAAGTCATAAGTGATGCACCAAAGGTGAAACAGAGACCCTTTGAAAGCAGAGTGACCTCCAGCTGCCACAGCAGCCAGCCCATTCTCCTGACCAGGAGTGAGAGGCCATTAAGCATTTGGCAGGTGATGAAGAGCTGAGAAATGAAAAGTAAATACACCAGGCCTGCAAGGAGGTGGGAAAAAAAATTCACTTTCTGTCTCAGATGGTATAGTAAGAAGCTTTAGGGTTGGTTTGGAAAGAAAGAAACCTGTTTAGGGAAATGGGAGGTGAGTGGAGTATGCTCAGTCTGCCTAATGAATCATGTAGAGCAAGGAGTGTCTGCTGAGCCCCAAGGACAGGAGTGCATTGGGTTTGGGCCACCATCATTGCACAAACAGAATGATAATACTTAAAATAACAATGTGTTTAGTCCCCCTGGATGGTTTTGAGGGGCCCATTGGATTTATAATTTCTGAATATTTGAAGAGTGAAAACATACATGCACCCATTTGGGGTTCCCAGGTTTTGAGAGTTACCTTGATCTTTCTCTCCATAAGTATTCTCAGCAAAATTTAACTTTGGAGATATCTCAGCTTCTGTTTATTTGTGTTTGAGAGTTGGAAGCAGAGCTGGCTGCAGAAAACACAGCTAGACTGATCCTTGTGCTCAGTGAAAAGGACTGGCAATGCCATAAACGCTGAATGGAGCTGCTACAAAATGATAGAGTTGGGGTTTTTTTACTTGCATGCAAATGTAAGTAGAATGTGACTTTTTGTCAAGGTTGCCTGTGGTAATTTCACAGCACTAATGAAAAATAGCAATTGACTGTAAGGATATCTACCCATGCGCACAACAGAGCTATAGCTCTTGCATCAGTTGAATGCCCACCTGGGGTTCATCTGCACTTTTCCAGCAGTGGTATGAGAAACAGCTCCAGCCAGGCACTCACAGCTTTTCATTTCAGGAATATCATCAGAATTTTTACTGCTTTCTAGTTTATTGCCCAGATCCACTGAAATTGGTTGGATCAAGTCCCAGAGGTTGGATTCCAAGGATGTTTCTCGTCCTTTGCCCAAAATGGAAATAAATGTGATGATGTGCCTTGTTTTAGGCAGCTTAGCAGGGGTATTGTGGGAAGCACTTCTGTGGTACAGAATGGAGAGCTCAACCTCTCATGGCCAGGTAATTCCTGGCAGGTTGAGTAGCCAAGTAAGACACAGAGTGACCCATTCCTGCTGCTGTTCCAGCAGCAGCACTGTCACCTGAAGAGGTGTGTCCTGCTTGGCACATAGGGGTGCACTTTTGGGAGTACAAAGGGAAGAAGAGCGGTACTTCTGTGCCTCTAAAGCTGTTTTGTTTTTTTTTTTTTCTCTTGCATGTAGGATCAGAGCCAATTCGTAGCAGAACGGGAAAAAGTGGAACTTCTACCCCCACTACTCCTGGCTCCACTGCCATCACTCCAGGGACACCACCAAGCTATGCCTCCCGTACCCCAGGCACTCCAGGGACACCCAGTTACTCCAGAACTCCCCACACTCCTGGGACCCCCAAATCTGCAATACTGGTACCTACTGAGAAAAAAGTTGCCATAATTCGCACTCCTCCTAAATCTCCAGCCACTCCAAAGCAGCTACGAGTTATTAATCAGCCTCTACCTGACCTCAAGAATGTCAGGTCCAAAATTGGGTCAACAGATAATATCAAATACCAGCCTAAAGGAGGGCAGGTAAGGATTCCACTCTTCATGTTCACCCATATGTTATTTACTCTTTTGTGTGCACCTTTGTGACAGGAGACATCTTGAGTTGCCTTATAAAGCTACTTGTGTTCTCCAAATCCCTTGCTTGTTTAAGTGATGTTAAATGGCCAAGAAGAGGACAATCTTCAGAACTTAACTGTACCTGCTGTAGGTCTTCCAGAGAAAAAGAACAGGCTCATATTTTAAACAGCTATCTCTAAGGTGTTGATCTGTTTTCATGGTAAATTACCACATTCAGTACTTTCCAGGATTTGCACAGCAGCCAGTTACTCATAAAGTCCAGGAGATAATGCTTCAGCAAAGGTATTCTGCCTTTATTTTGACAGGTGTGATTATTTTTCATGCGAGCTCCACTCCATTTGGCATACCATGTAGCAGATGGGGGTGTGCAGGGGCTCCAGCAAGACAAATTCAGACTGTGCTTCTGGATTAGCATTCCTCTTACAGGCCCAGGTGTTGGACTTAGGGCCTGAAACCAGCACCATGGTACCCTGTCCTCCTCCTCCTCTCTGTCACTGTCTCTGGGCTGTAACAATTATACAAGAACTAGGATGCCACAGCAAACTGTGTTTCTTTGTAGACACCATGCCTAGACAGCTGAATGTCCTTAGCTCTAAAGAACTGCTCAGAGTCCTTGAGCAGTGAAGGATGGCACAGGATGGCATTTCACTGCTGTGGGCATTCCAGGGGAAATCTGCACATCACTGAAGCGAAAGCATTTTTTAGTTCCAGTGGTATGTAGCCACTGAGCTGTGGGTTGGGCAAAGAGAAGCTCACTAAATTTTTCCTTCATGTCTCCTTTATGCCATAGTTGCTTAGTCTAGACAAGAGGTTTTAGGATAATTCTTTTCCAGTTTCTGCAGTTGAATTTTAGAGGGTCTGTGAGAGCAGCATGAAAGCTAATTTCATTTCCTTGTGTCTGCTCAGTTCTTTAATGTCTGGTAGCAATATTACCCTGGCTGAAATGAGCTGTTATCTGTTACTTGCTTTTAGTGGTGATACATGAAACAAACAGAAAGCTTCTTGTTAACCTGAACTGGAAGTGCTGATAGCAACAGGAAAAACAGGCAGAGAAAAACCCAGCATATATCTGGGCAAGTTAAGTACATAAACATAACATGCAAATCACTAAAGGAGTACAGACAGGCAGCCCTAAAGTGTCATTTCAAGGCAGACTATCCTTTTACCAGTGGTATATTTCAGCCTGGCACAAGGATTTCTCTTAACTTTGAGCTGTTCTAGAGAAAGCTGCACTCTGAAACTGCCAGAGGCTGGATTGCAAAATTGAAGAAGCTCTTCGGGATGTTTGAATGCTAAATAAATCAAGAGGTGCAGTGCTTCAGCCTGGAATTTTATCAAAAGCTCATCAGACAGCAGACTGATTTTCCTTCAACTCTGACTTGGCAGCCACAGAAACAAAGAAAAGGGGAGAAATCATTCCACCTGATGGGAGTTGTGTGAGTGTGGTGTGTGAAGAGAATGCTTTTTGGGGGAGGAACAAGCTAACTTTGCACTGCATTAAGCTCCTCCTAGGAATAGAGGGTTTGAAACATTTTAGTGTTTTAATTGGTATTGGAGAGAAATGAGGGCTCTCTGCTCTGTGGTGCAGCCAGGAGGTGCTTGTCTGGTTTTCGCTTTCTGGTACAGTGTGGTGAAATGGATCATCACTGGCAAAGCTCAGAGGAGACTTGCTCATGGGTATGTCTGCTGGGCTTCAGATGGATTTTCACACTGCATCAGCTGGGGAGGAAATGCCGTGCTTACAAAAGTAACCCATTTGCATCTGTTATTTCTCAGACAGCCCAAGGGAAGCATGGGGAGCTGGGAGAGGGTGTTGGAAATCTGATTCAGATGCCAAGACTGATTTTTTTCTTGTGTTTTTTTGGTTCAGATTTTTGGTTTTCCTTTTGAAATTCTGTCTGTGGATGTGGTTGGTACCATATCAAAGTACAGAAGTGCACTAATGGAGTATTTTCATTCCTGGCAAGGCAGACTATTTAGAATGCTTCATGGACCAGCAACCAAGGATAAAACTAACCTAGATTTCTCTTAATTTTATCTTAAAATGTATACCTAAAATCTCAGCCACAGGCAAGAACTTCAGTGGATGTGAAGCAGCAGAGCATCATCAAAGTGAATGAAGCTGCACAGACTAGAATTACATGCATGAGCTTTAAAATGCCACTAATTATAGTGACAGGCAGGCACCTTGTAAGAAGTAAGATGACACATAGAAAAAAGAAATATCTAAGTCATGCTAAAGAATGAAATGTTCCATGAAGGTTTTTAGGAAGATTAAGGAAGAACTTCACCATCTTCCTAAATTGTAGAAAACAAAATGCAATTAGTAATGAGTCAGAAAGTTTGAACAAATTGATGACACCACTATTCAGTAGATGCTTTCCAAAAACCACAGAAATGTTTGCAAGGAGAATAGGCTTGTTCATTAGGTGATAAAATGGACTGGCACTGGTAAGACATCTCAGAGGTGGGCAGATGAAGAGGCTTGAATGGGTATCTTAGCTTCAAAATCAGTTTGGATTAAAGATGAATTGATTTTTTTTTTGCCTTGTCTTCTTTTATATATTCTCTGTGCTTTTACACATAAATTTTGTCTTGATTTGAAAAGATAGATGTCTGCTAAGGAAGGCAGGAGCCTCTCTTGAAATGTGAAATGTAAACCCCTTCCCTCCAAATTATTATAATTTTTGAGATTAAGGGGCTCTTGGGCAAAGATATCGGAGTAGGAATAACAGTTCTTTATAAAGAAAAATAAAAATGCAGTAACACAAAACAATACTGCCAGAGTCAGATCAGGAGCTGCCCCCCTGTGTGTCAGGGTGGTGGCACAGCCCCATGCCATGGTGGCTCAGCCCTCCTGCAGTGCCAGCTGTGGTTCTGCTGGAGCAGGGATCCTGCACAAGGGGGGAGTTTTCCTCTGCAGCTCCAGGGCTGCTGGAGATGGGCCTGGGCTCCTCTGGGAATGCAGGAGAGGAGAAAGCTGCTCCTCTGGGAATGCAGGGCAGCAGAAAGCTGCTCCTCTGGGAATGCAGGGGAGCACAAAGCTGCTCCTCTGGGAATGCAGGGGGCAAAGGCTGCTGTGCTGTTCCAAACCTCAGATTGTATCCAGGTAGGAATGCTTGGCTCCTCCCCTGGGCGNAACAGCAGAGATCTCCTGCAGGGAGGATGGGTTGTGGCAGAGATAAAGAACATTGCCCCTCCTGGTTCTAACAGGTGGCCCAATTAACAGAAGATGGCTGCCCCACCTGGTTCCAACAGATGGCCATGGAATGCACACCCCCAGCCACATCTTGCATTTCCAACCTAAGACAATTTGTAGCTCTGTATCCTATTATTGTATTTGTAGCTTATCTCCAGTACTTTTCCTGACTCTACCCAATAAGCAGAAAGACAAAACACATTCCAAAGGTTCCAAGCTGGGGATCTGAGGCTCTTGTCCTATTTTGGTTCTTCATGGGAACCAAGGTTGAGACCAGCTTTTCCAGACATATTTTTATAAACAGTTTAGTCCCTATCTAGAGGAGGGGGAATTTGAAAAAGAGTTGGACTGTGGAATTACCTCACCAGTTATGCTTCTAACTGGGGATTCTTGTCATATATGCTAATTTGTAAACCCTATTAAAAATGTATACACATTATGCTGTGTGTACAACTTTGGTATTTTCCACCTGGTGAATTGTGCACCTAAGGATCCTTACAAAGGTAACCTCTTTTTACCACCCTAACTGTGTCTGGCTCCTGATTTAGGACCAATAAAAAGGCATCAGGATGGCAGGAGAGATTCCCTCCCAGCACACACCCCAGACCCCCATCATCAAGATTTACAACCCTGTCTGCAGAGGTCAGTGGGCTTCTGGCATGTTCCCTGCCTCAGTGACAGCGTGCCAGGGTGCAGTCAGTACAGACACAGACTGGTCTGGTTGGTGCACCAGAGCTGAGCACCTCCTGGAGAAAGGGAGATCAAAAGTTCTCAGTTAACTTCCCCTTGAGGTGGCGTCTTATAGTTCCTCCCCATTCTGCTGTTTCACATGTCTTTGCACCACTTTATGAATGCTCATGACTGCCTAAAATCTTCAAGTCTGTAAGTTGTGTACTGTTGGTGCAATGGCTGCTGAAGAGCATCTAAAAAGATGGTGAAGAGCAAGGCTTTGCATAAAGTGCAGTCTGAGCTGTTGCTGGATCCCCTCTCCTTCCAGCACACCATGTGCTTTTTCTCCAGTCCGTTGTAACAACACAGGTGAATCAAAACCACTTAGGCCCAGGTTAAGAGGATGTTCTTCCACAGGCCAGTGATGAACATAAATGAGCTTTTTAGGGCCAAACTTGTTGCCTTCCCCAGCCAGAGGCACCTGAGGCAGCTGTACAGGGAGGTGTGGATTGTCAGGGAGCATGGCTGCTGTTACATGATGGAGCTGAGAGACTGGGAGGCAATTGTTTCCACACTGTTGGCTTTACTCATTGGAATAAGTCTGTGCATTTGTCAACTCAACAATTCAGAACTGTAAAATAAATTAATCTCTGTCAGTCTGCTCTTGCTTTCTTTGTACATTCCCAAGTCTGGGGATTTGCAAGACATTTGAAGGGATTTGTTCTGCACTGAAAATTAGAAATTAATTCACCACTTGTTAATTGCAGATCTACAAATGTGAAGAGAAATTAGGAGTTTCAGGTGCACCTTCAAAAATCTGTCACAGCTCAAACCTGAAATTTTTAAGTTTATGAAATTTAGAATTTTGGCTGAAAATTGCAGATTGGACAGAAATAACATCTTGCAGCTCCAGTGTTCAGGCTGCACTTGTTTAAAGGAAGACTTGCCTGAGTACAGTCTGTACAGTTAAGCCTTGAATTATTCTGGATAAAAAGCTAGATGTTCTTCCTGACTCATATTTTAGAAAAATTAAGCAATCACTGCCAGCCTCTAGCAAGTTTCAGAAGGGCTTTTTTGA